ACGATGCAAGCATTACCGCACTGCTCGTAACAGTTAACAGGGTGCATTAATACCATCTGTTTAAGAATCTTGGAAAAATCATCGAAGAAAGATCGAACTTGATAAACGAGGCATCTATTAATCCGAGCGATTCTAATTACGCTACACAAATTAGGTAAAAAGTAAAAGTAGAAGAACCACTAATCTCTAGGGTATTCCAAGATGTCCTAAAATAAATTTTCTAAATATAGAAACGATCAACCAACCCTATACATTCCTACAATACCAAAAAGACACAATTAAATTCCTCCCCCATATATCAATTTCTCCATACATACTTGCAACGTCCATCAGGTGGAAAGGACTACGGGATAAAATAAAACGAAAACGCCATGAAAAATAAGAATGTTAATGCTTGCTATACCGGTCACGATATTCTCGATTCGTCGACGAGTTCGATTTTATTTTCTCACCGGGCGAATAGTTACTGTCCCATGGACGACTATGGAACCAGTCGGAGGTCCAAGGATAATGGACACCGGAGTCGAGGAACTGATATCGGTGCATTGGCCACGGTAAATCCTGCGGGTAATTGGCGAGTGAGCAGCGAACGAGGAGAAGACCCACAGCGCGGACATCGATGGATAACCCGGCGAGAAGAAGGTAATAGGCAACAAGGCTCGCTGGTTCACGGCGTATAACCTATGTACGCCGCGGTAAATTCTCCAGGTAATTGCGAACAAGAGAGCCGGAGAAGAGTGTGGGTGCTGATGGAATCCCGAGGGAAGGATAATGGCCGTTTCCTACGCGACACAAAGCGAAGAGAAGCTTGCCGCCGTTCTACACCGGACAGACCCGTTCTACGCGGATGCTAACAAACGGAATTACATGGCTACGGTGTATCGCGATATCGGATATCCACTTGGATCCTAACCAGACATCGTCCTCGAAATTTTACTCTACCTAGGGAATCACTTTGAGAAAAGAAACCGCGACAGTGACAAGACGCGTCGCTTGAAAATTTTCATGCCTGTTCAGATACCCTCTTTATTCCTTTCTCTTGCAAACTGTTATTAAAAGGGTTAACATTGGATATCAAATTCTTGCGATTGTTGCAAAACAGAAGTGCAACGCGGGTGCATTCGGAATCGAAGAGAAGGGATAATAGCCAAGAAACGTGTCCAACCACGGCGTGTATCGCGTTTGCCCGCTCAAGCTACGTATCGAGGTTTTAATACGCCGCCCGAACATAATTTAACCATCGGACTGTCCACGGATAAAATATCGTTGGCTGAGTTACACGAATGCTTGTAATCCGGCCTTTTACGGAACGGAATGAATTAATGTCGCGAATACACCTATGAGAAGCCGGTTGAAAGGAATACTCTGTTAGCAGGATGATTGTTTCTTTCGGTAACTGATTGTCACTATACGTAGATATACAGGGAGTTGGAAATTTTTCTCTTAACCAACTCGTTCCTTGTACTATGCTTCTAAGTAGATACCAAGAATCAGTCCGGAAGGTCGGCGACGCACGGAATTATACTTTACGGGTGAAAATATCCGGACGACTTTGATCGCGTTGAAACGAAACGAAACGAAAGCAACTTTTATTCCCGATAATTGGAACGATTAACGAGCAGATTTCTCTTTTACCCGAAATACCGTCACTCGAAAGTGATACGAATTTTTTTGTAACACTACACGTTTATTAATATCCTATTTTTCTTTACCTTTCAACATCCCTTCGGTGTAAAAGATGAAAAGGGTGTATTCGCGAATGGAATAAGTAATTTTACAGCGCAATTTCGAAGAAAGAAACGCTCAGCAGCTTCTCTCATCCCGAAGGTTAATGGAAAATCCAGAGAATCATGAGGTAATTCATACTTGTTCCTTTTTCAAGAATGTTAGCAACTCGGAGCCGCACCCTGAGCCACCCAAACGTAATCTCGGTAATATTTCTACTCGAGTCCTTGAGGTTCAGATCGGGGGCGGATAAATTACGGGGCGTAAACTGCATCCTGACAGTAAATTACTCGATAGTGGTAGACGATACCCGGGGAACGTGGCGCCTACGCGAAACCGCATCTACTCGCACGATCCTAGCCATTTTTGATTCGCTGGATCTGTTCAGTTTGAATTTCTCCTAGCTTTATGACACTGCTTTTCAAGAGCTCGTTTCATTTGCTTTTCCCAGGGAACGAAAGGAATATCGCAGATAAAAGGATTTTAGTGTCCTGGGGTTTCTATCAGAGGAAAATTGTATTGATACTAAGATCGAACATAGCCAATTAAAATAATGAACGTACGAGGAAACGAAATAAAAGACAAGGGAAAACAGATTGACGAAAGAGAATACAATAAATGTCGGTTGTGTCGGGAGAAATCCATTTCAATTTGTTCGCAATTTACATGGTAAGAGAACGAGAGGAAGGAGCGAATAAATTTGAATACTCGCAGCACAGGCACGTGGCCAGAGTCAGCTGTTTTCATGGATAACATCTCCGTCACCCCATGTAGCGGTGTATTTCTAATAAGAAAAAAAAATATCATCATCGAAGGTCGGATTCCAAGGATCTGTGCATTGTATTAACACACTATCCTTGATCTATCTTAAAGATATAAGAGAACGTTTGTTTACCGCACAAATTCCTGTGCGACATTTCGAAAATGAAATTGAACGAAACGAATTGACGGTGAATAAATGAAAAATTGAAACAAAGGGGAATGTTAACAGCATTGTAGTACGTTTAAGTAACACGGTTGATAGGCTGTTCGGCGTGGAAACGATCCTTTTGCGAAATCGCTCGTGCTCTCGGTTGAAGGGGCGCCCACTGTGGAACAGAATCAGAAATCTATTCCCATCGGTTAAAGTAGGAACGCGCACGTTGTAACGTACATCCGCCTTGGGCTCTTTGCCGCCTGTGAACTTTGATAGCCGACACGATATTAAATTACAACTGTTGGGAAATCCACGGTTTTGCAGAAATTACAAGGAGTGACGTTCGATTCTCGCGATTCGTCGAACTTTTCTGAGAAACCGCTGAGGAAACACCTAGACAGTTTTACCGTCTTACGTATTTCATTCAATCATCTTGCGGCAATAAGTATTTATTAATTTACACTAGTAATGACCCGAACCTTGTGTTTTAATACTATTTACCACCTATCCTTTTATCTTAGAATCTCGAGAGCTATGATTTTCACGATTACGTTTAAAATAATCACCTCTAATGTTAAAGGGTTCATTTCGAAACGAAGCTGATGCACGATTCGAATGGTACATTAGATAGTTATTACACTTATTTATTGCACCGCTCGTACAGAATACGAGATACGTGTTTAAAAATTAATTATACGATCGATTTGAAGTTTCACAACAGGTTCGTTACGGATGACTTATTCGATTCACGTTCCTCGAGTTCTCGTTTTCTATCTACTGTTATCTATCGTTGCCCATAGTTTCCGAAGATTTTTCAACGACGTTCCGTTACTCGATTGCAGTCGGTTTCTGTTGATTGTCCGTTTGGACGATCGACGGAAGAGAAACTGTTGCAATCGAGCAACACGGTAGGTGGGTTTCGCATGCGAAACGACCGCTTTGCGAAATCCTGCCACGGTGGCCGCAGACCTCAGCTGAGGCGCCTCGGTGATTCAACGAAAATTAAGAGTCGTGAAATTAGATTGAGCCTATTTAATGCCAGCCAGCTACGAAATACCAGAAATGTCTAAATCGAAACTCCATCGAGTAATTTGTACTGCTGTTTGCTGAAACACCGTTCGCAAAAAGGAAAAACACAATTTACCCCCTGAGGAATATTCGAAGATTTCTCAGAAATTTACGCCTCGTTGAATCAATTTGCTTTCAATTTAATTGTATAATGTGGAAATCAAACGCGTAAAAACTGTCTACTAAAAATTCGGTTATGCGATTTGCCAACTGACATTCCTTCTTCAGTGAGAAGCATTTCAGAACGCGTGGCCATATTTGGCCGTAGATTAGTGGGAGAGGAAAAAGAGGTTCTAACGCGCCCTTGGGGTACACCCTCGGGGACCAAAAGCACTTTTGCTTGATTTCCGCGTGTACCAGTTATCCAACGAGCCGAACATTACGTAAACTGACATTTTCGCGGCTACCTCGAACCAGCAAATGACTCTACCCGATTACGAGTCCACTGACAAAAACTATTTTTTTTTTTCTTTCTTTTCCTTCTGAAAGGTCCCTTACATAATTCTCAGAAAATAATAAACATTCTTTCGTAAGATTTACGAATCAATGTGATCACGATTACAATAGAAAATAATGATACCCCTATAATCAAGTATAATTTCTTTTTTTCGAATGAAATACCTGAAATGTTACGATAGTTTGTAAAGAAAGAATTGCATTGAAAAAAAAAAAAAAGAAATCCGTTTCCAAACGGATCAAGGTTCTATATCGCGCGAAATCTCTAAAGGAATTCGCCGGTTACAATATCCTTTTCACTCGGCATTTCTTTTTTTGTCAAGGTTCACACAGAATCAAGTGAAATATCACTTGTTCGTTATGTAACAGAAACCTATTTGAATACGAGTTCGTGTTGGTCGCCGTTCACCGGCTACGGATCGATTTTCCTTATCGACCTTCGGGCGCGAATTTAAAGACACGGTTCGCGAACCTCAACACATTCGGTAAACGCGTCGATTTTCTTTACAATTGATACAAGGAAACAAAAACCAGCAAGAATGGGATATTAACTTGCACGATCACGCAACGAAACGAAAAAGATCTTATAGTTAAAAAAAAAAGAATACTTTGCATTGCGGCAAACTCGTTACATCATCGTGCAATGGTAAAAGGAAAGCGAAAGCAGGAATTAACCCTCGCATAGCGAATTTTGCCCTAATACCTATCCTATATAAAATAACATTGTTATAGATCAAAGTGACATTGTATTCGTTTACTATGTAAGTCAGCAAGTATTCGTCTTGCAAGGGTTGAAAAGCTTAAAAAAAAAAACAGAAAACTGAAGATCACTCACCCACTCTGGACATGACCGCCAGCAGGAGCAACACGCTGCTCACGATGATCATCTTCGTCACCGTTGGTTGCTCAAACTTCCCGATTCAATGATTCAATTAAAGGCTGAAGCTGGATGCACACGCGTGAAAAAAGCTCGGGTCTCGTTAACGAGGGAAATGCAAAGCCGGTGAAACGAGTGGCGGCTCGAGCCGCGACCGATTTCCTTTTTCGTATCTTTCCCGTTTCTTTTAACTCGACTCGACGACGAATCGACACTGGACGTACGCTCGCTTTCTGGCTGGCCGCTTCTTCTTCGTTCTCGTTCTTGGCGAATTTTTGAAGGAAAATCCAACGAACGAGGGTGGAAGGATTGTGAAGGATCGAACGAGAGGCCAGGAAGGAGCTGCAGCTTCGATGTGGCGCCGTTCAAAGCCGCGAGAGCTCCATCGACGTCGCAAAACATATGCTACGGTCACGAAGAGAGAAAGGTGACTGGGTAGACGCAAGGCGTGCTCAATACCTCCTGTCTTCTTGGCATAGTCACCTTTCTAGCAAACCAGCAACAAAGAAGGGAGTGTTGGCGTTGTAGTATCTCAGCATGGCCCACCACCATACTTCGTAATCCTGGTGGTGGTGGTTCTGCTGGTGCTGTTGCTTCTTGTTAATGGTGGTGGATACGTCGAGGAGATCGGCTGCTACCTTCCATACGACAAAATCCGCCTTCCTTCCATCCGATTTTTTTACGTTTCTCATATCGCTAACCCTGAAACCATTCTCGGCTTACGTGACCAGTACGTGTCCAGAGAAAAGTTTGACTTTGCTTCTTCTCCCCTCCTGTTCAATCGAACGACCAAGGGTAGGCACATAAAATACGTTGAAATATGTCCTACCTTTCTTCTAGCTCAGGAATTTCGACTTGGATGGTGGATTTCCTACAAAGGTACAGGATGTTTTATTTTAAAATGATTTGTAAGGATGTTGGGTCGAAAGTAACAAAAAATAATTGCTATTTTTAATTACGAATAACAAATATTTAGTATTGCTTGATTCTAACATCATTTTCATTCATAATTTCAAGTAATAAGAATATTATGTTTGTATAAAAACTTTATTTTTCGCGGCCATATAAAATCACCAATATTTATTCGGATACACGTTATCTTGACGCAATAAGATTACATCGACGATTACCTTCGAATTAATTACTGAAAACCATCGATTACCTAAAGTAAAGACCAAGTGTCTACGTTAATTTGTTAAATATTCGTTTTTTTAGAATAAAAAAATTAAAAAAAAAAAAAATACAGACCATCAGCGTTTGATTACCGTAACAAACGCAAGAGTATCCCACAAAAACTTTGTTCGTAATAAAAGCGATTATCATTTTGCACAGTCCCGTGTACGTTAATTAAATTTAAGAGTAGAGCATACAGTAAAGAAGAATCTAATTACAATCTCCTTTACTAATTACAACACATCGATAACAAAGCGTTATTCTTTAATTGTGCATTAAAACAAGACAACGAAAGAGAGCATTCATTGAACAGAATGATTCTTCGTTACTGTCGCTCCAACGATTATTCAAAACTATCGATACCATAAAAAATGTAATATTTCTGATGAACATATATTAACGCGTAACTTTGATCGCTACAAAGAAATGCCATTGGTGGAATTACACAGTCCATTCGTATCTTTTCATATTTTTTTTCCTTCGTTAAATCCTGTCTCCAATAATTACGAATATATCACATGATAATTATGAACGTATCACATATACATATACATACATATATGTACATTTTCTTATTATCCTGTAAACATAAACACGGTATTCCAGTTCACCTACTTACGCGAATCATTTTCCCGTTTCACCATCCGGCGTATCAATGTAAACGAACGTAAACGACTAGACGTACTTGCGATTATATTGCTCGCAAGCAATTTCTTACTTCCTTTCAAAGGTTCTCCTGAGAGCAATCCTGGCTGTACAGGTATAAACAATTATCATTTCGCGCGTGTACACAATGTAGTCGATACGTAAAATCCTTGAAATATACTTTCTAGGTACGTTGATTACAAGTTATGAATAATCTGTGCTCCGAACACATAAACTACGAATGGTACAGCGATACGTATTAAAAAACGAATGAAATCCCTCTTGTAAATTGAACAGAGGCGAACACCGTTTCATGTCGCGTGTATAATTGCGCGCAACGATACCTTTTCTCGGTAGGAGAAACAGTGAAAATTAATTTACTCTACTACTGTTTTTTGCCACTGTACTTTACCAACGACCAGCTTTAATACTACTAAAGCTTTAGTAGCGCTGATTTACATCAGTACGTTATTAGAGCAAGTGGTAGAGTACATTAGCGGTAATGTATTTGAAAGGCGGGGAAAAGCTGGTAGCAGAATTACTCTAGGGTGCTATTCCACTCTACTCTACCGACTAGCTTTAGTACTTTACTGGAGCAGAGTGCCCTACCAATGGTAAATTAGATCTATAGAAGAAAATTTCCACCCCAAGTGAAGAGTAAGAATCGGTCAAACAAGAATAGTGAGTCTTCCCCTATGTTTACTGAGAGAAGGCATCGTTGGATGCAACTGTAAACGTGGTCGTACGCAGAAACTTACGAGAAATATAGTCATGCCTTACGCTAACGAATTGAAATTTTTTAATTATTTACGAAGGTAGAAAAGTCGAGATGTAAAAATAAGGAAATCATTTCCAAAAGCTTTCAAATAGTCCACGATCGTAAGCTGCATTAAATAGATTCATCCCTGAGGCTACTACTGTCGAGGCGCCATCCGGATACAGCTAAGTCTTGCTTGTACAAAATACCATTTGCACGATCATTGTTTTCAACGTTAGAGAAGAAAAAAAGTAAGCGTTTGATAAATTTGGTTTAGAGCGATCAATTGACTATGGATTAGAATAATTTTCGCAGCTTCGAAAGGCCGGTTTATAAAGATTTGCCAAATATTTTTCTTTGTTCTCAATTTTTCTTCTTCTTTTTTTTTTAATTTTTACGTTTTATTAATAACTATGAAACGATTCGTATGTACATCAATTGAATACGACAATTACGCAATTGATTGCGTGCCATGGCCCGATCTGAATTCGAACAATGTTACAAGGTATATATATATATCTGATACTTTGTACAAAATTCATTATGCGAATACACAAAAGCGCAGAGTAACGCCATTCCTCGAGAATGAAAGACCTTCTTAATTTGCTGCCTCGACAGCCACTAGGGTACGTGACACCCTGTGGCTCGTTACCTACTTACGCAACGATGTAAGTGTTCCCCTATATATACGTTTTCGAATAGCCTCTAGCGCGCATGCGTAAGCGCGCCAATCGCAATAGCAATTCCCGCCACTATTTTATCGAAATATTCGAGGCTATACATATGCATATATACGATGCCCATTTCGAGGGTAGATAACTGCTGTGTAATTGATAAAGATCCTGTATAATCCTAATTACTAACTAATTCAATTTGTCTATACTTCTTGCGCAAATTGCTTACAGAGTCTTTGAACAAAACAGGGTCAAGCCTCATATTTGATCGTAACAACGGCATGTACCCGAAAACGGCTACGAACGTGTTCATACACGTTTGCCGTTGTATAAAGTGATCTGGATCGTTCCATGGAGATCTGAAAATGACGCGTATCAAACAGAGAAAGGAAAACTAATCGAAAACACCCCTCATGAATATAGTGATCCGCTACGCAGGTATTGTATCCTATATGTTCGCGATTTTGAAGGAATAAAGATAACAAAATTTGTTAAATCGCAAAAAATTGATATTCAGAAACTTACCAAGTCGAGCAGACAGTAATCGCATTTTGAAATGTCGTTGTAACAGCTCTTAGCAAAGCAAGGATGAAGCGCTTTAAATAAACCACATTGTTGATCAAATTTACAACACACTAAACAATTTAATTGTTATTAACATCCACAAGAAATAAAACGAACACGAAATCTACAATTTCCGACGACGCCGCTACAATGTAATGGCGGAAAATATGGCGCTGCTAAACAGCCAATCAGAATGCGATTATCGTAAAAGAGTCTATAACATCGATAATCGAATCGATTACGAAACGACTTTTCATGGAATAATCGAAATTTTAACGCAATTTAGTTCGGAAGATTAGAAGAGTGGTGTAAAGTGTGGTCAACGCAGTGAAATATTGGATAATGTAAGAAATAAATGGATTATTCAACCAAATACGGGAAACTGGAGATCAACAACATCGTTCAAATCAACAACAAGGACATTTACCTGCGTAGCCGTCGTAACAATGGTAAGCGATACATACCTGATTCCAGCCACTGTAGTATCTTTATATAGTTTCCGTTGAGTAACTTTAATAGGTGGTCTTCGCGTAATATGGCTGACTAAAAAATTCATAAGTATGTCCTCGCAGTTTTGCGACTGTTCGACAGTCTTGTGCAGCGTCGAACTCAGTAATTCGGTATACAATGTATTATAATAACGATGATAAAAGGCGGCACCAGTTAGAATTATACTATAATCATTTGTCCATTTGCTTGTGTAACCCCACGACCGCTTTAAATCATAAATCGAAACGTATGTAAGAGATGATATCGTAAACGTTAGGTAGCACGAGGAATATCAGACCCTACTTACTTTGGAATCGTCCCAATAGTGCGATCTAGCCGGATAACCAACAATTCGATCCGGAAACGATCGCCAAACGGTAAAGGCGAAATCTATTTCGTCTGTATTGAGTGTAGCATCCTCGTCTAGAGATAATATGGCACTAGTTTTGATTAAAGGGTGTGGGTAAAAACGTTGGGATATTCCATCAACTGTAACAACATGTATTGATGCTTTGATCCCTTGCCATCGCGGCCTCCTTGGTAACGGAATGTCCGAGTTCCACATTAGAATAATCTGAAATTCATCAAGGTTATCAACCGCTCGTAATTGTCAGAAATATAAAAGAAGCAGAAATAGTTGAAGCGATAAGCTTACCTTATCTAGGTATTTACTTTTCGCGATACTCTTAAGCAAACGATAGAGAACAGCAGTGGATCCCAACTGCGAATAGATGATGGCAGTGAAGGTATTACCTGGATTACTTTTCGAAAATGGAAGTTCTTGCTGGCTATCAGCAAACTGCGGTAATATTGCTAAAGCTCCAGGGTTAATATTCCAGACAAGTTTTTCCCTTGTACCTTCCCACGGTAAACGTTCGCGGATATTCTGAAAGTTTAGTTCAAACATAGGAAATCGAAAATTCGTATTGATAGAAAAGCTTCACTGCTTTTATGAAATTACCTCGAATACTGTAAATACAATTTTTTCTATCGACGAAAAGTATCGTTCCCAAAGGAATTGCGTTTGTTGCCGTAGTTTAAGGATTTGTACATTAGACACAGACCGTACTATATCCGGAATCTAAATAGATAAAATTTGATAACATTCCAGCCAACATTCCAGTTGGTGTATCTTTTTTATCGTGAATTATGTTTTCGATGTACTTACTTGAAGCAACAGTCTTTCATCTGAAAATATAACCGCTTGTGTCCAATCAATACGTTCATGAAAAGGAAGTGCCCAGCCATTGCTTAGAATAACTGGAATACATCCAGCCCTTAAAGCTTCTAAAAATCGAAAACTACCAAGTCTTCTTCCTCTTGGTACAAGACAAAATGTAGCATTCATCAATAAAATTTCATAATCATACCTGAAATGATAAATATTAGATTAGTGTTTGTCTTTTAATCAGAGACATTCTTCTCTAAGGGTATATTTCATCTTGTTACTAACATATCATACTCCTGATTATCTTGTTGACAATGTTCGTCTTGTAACTCTCTCCATGCTTTGCCGTGACGGCAAGTCGTGACAAACACCAAGTCTTTGCCATTGTGTAAATGATAGAGAGCATTTCTTGTCTCGGAACCTATTCCATGGACGTATCTTTTACCCTTGAATGCTGCTACATATTTTTTATTGTTAGGAAAATTATTTTCTAATGCTTGACCCGGTTCTCCACCACGTTCTGGATGTTGTTTTCCAAACAATGGTATAGATACATCAAAGTTTGGTCTGTGCCTGAAGATAGACATGCTAGCTTTAGCAAGCATGGCATACCCTATGTCAAAGGCTAACGATTCCTCTGCATAATCAGGCCATGTTCCAGAATATAAATTAAATATCAAATGATTTCTGCCATTATTCCAATATTGTAAACGCATTAACTTTGCAGGAAGATTGTGAACAAATTCTGTTGATAATGGATCTCTGTCCAATGTATCAAGAGCTAATACAAATATACATGCTCTAGCTGGATCTGATGTATAATATCTTGATTCAGTAATAACATTTAATATTTTTTGGTATAGCGGGCTTATCACATCCTCAACTGGATATACATAAACTGTAAAACCATGCTTGCACCTAGTAAAGTCAAAACAAGTCTCCATACGGCATTGTCTTGTACGTTGAGAGACAAGCAAATTTCCATTTGACGTCCTTAAATCCTTGTCATAGAATTCTTCATTTAGACTTAAATATGAAGGCAATCGCTCATAAGGCAACTGAGATCTGCCTGCCCACTTTTCACTTTTTAATCGGTATCCACCAAAATAACAATAACCAAGAAACGCGCAGGTTACAAATAGCAATAAATAGCGCTTCTTGGCTTGCATTTTTAATGCAATCAAGTTATAATCAAATATACATTAATCTTAGACATTATTCTTCACATGTAGAATCCATGCATTTAATCATAAATGCATTGTAACAAATCTCTTATCGGTACAATTTTGTTAAATATACAAATTAAAAATTACTCCAAAATGGAACTGGTTTCATTCCTAAAGATTACTGAAACATAATAAAGAGAAGCAATTGTTGAGATCAATTTGTAACAAAAACAGTTTATAGACTAGCTCTGAATTATTTTTGAAATAATATTTATATCATTTCTTTATATAAAGAATATCAATACAGTTGAAACAAATCAAGTACACATTTAGTTACCTTCGAATTTGCAAGATTCAATATTGGTTATTAACAGGAACGTTTCAAGAGGTTTGATTATTATAAAATACATGGCAAAATACATGCTACTTCCACTGAAACTTCAGATTTATGTTTATATTTATATATTACATCCAAATTTACAAAATGTCGAATCTAAATGACAGATTGTAAACGTCGATGGACGCTTGCAAAGAGTTAACCTATAAGTAAATTATTACGGACGTTGCACAGGAGAGCGACAACGTCAAACATATCGAAGCTATAGTTCGATGATGCACGGATAAACAATAATTCATGCTTATTTACGACTATCTTTTAATATATTTTTTTTCTAGTCGAAACTGCACATACAACTTTTTGTTAGGTTAGTTCTGACGTACATCCAATTCGTAGAACTCGCCGGTGTTATTACGCCCATTCGCATTTTCGGTCGGCGTCACCACACACGCGTGACATCGATCGGAAAACGCCTCCAAGTGCAAAATCATTGCACGCAGCGCATTAAATAATTGGTTTAAAAAGCAATGCGAGTTATGCAATGACGTTGGAACGATTAGACTGGCGAATCGCTTATTGGTTACTTCATACCGACCTCTCCAAGACGGTATGATTGTGTGCGAAGCTACTATGAACTATACTTCTACAAATCTAAACAAAACTACCGATCAAGGTTATCCCGCTACCTAGTGGGTAACCGATAAAGCTTTTCAGCCGTTTTACCCGCTTCGATTAAATTTATTAAAAGCACATTGTTTTTTTTTTTATTGCAAATCAATACTCTTTAAAGCGAACGTTTAGCTTACTACAAAGCTTATATGTCATCAGTCAGAGGAAGCTTTATAATATTGACTCAAGATTTTGGTCAAATTAAAAAATCTTATTTTTGTTAATGTGATCATTTTAAAAAGAAGTATATTTTCGATATCGAAACACTTACTTGAAATTCCAATTTTTAAATGTATTACATTTATTGTAATTAGAAGATCCAATGAACAGTACTGAATTGCTAGTTAACTTTCACTGACAGTTTTTCAAGACTTACGTAATTATGTATAAGACTTGCATGACAACGATAAATTTCTCAGCTCGATAAATATTTATAAACTTATTCTTTTGTTGTATAAATACGATTTCGTAATAAATAATTAATTTCTTTCGTATCGTAGCATTTGTTAATATACTTGACTCGAGGAGAATATCTTTCGTACTAAATCACTCGTTCAAGTGATTTAACAAACTGTATTATCCTGCTCTCAAGTCAAGTATTTTCTTGTTTTTTTACAGGACTGAAGAGTTCACCTTGATCGTTGACTTTTGAGATCGTTTCTTTATGCGCGCATATCATTACTGCAACGTTTTCTGCGAATAGATACTTTTCAATATAGAATTTGCATATATTCATAACGGATACAGTGTAATCTCTTGGTAGCGCAAATGTGTATGCTTTTTACAACACGATTATTTATAGTACGTATGTCACGTTTTTCTGATTACATAAAACGATTCAGATGTTTATTAATATTTTATGTCGTTTTATCATCGGTCTTGATTACCTTCGTTAATGCACAAGTAGCATCATTAAAAGGTAAAACTTACAGGAAGAAATGTTAGAGGTTTAGGGGATGGCCAGGGACAAATTAGCGAATAGAGAAGCTTTTTATTTATGTATGGGTTCTATAAAACTGCATGGCAAACATATCTGAACAGAACTAACTAACTAAATAAAACAGCAACGCGCTTCGCACGTCCTCGTGCAAGGTTTTTATTGAATACATTAGATATTATGCAATTAATAAAATTTAATATATATATACATATACCATATATATATATATGCGGAAAACTTATTTTAATAAAACAATTAACTTCGTGTTTTGTTTTCAAGTACAATATGACCTAGAACTTGGCTACTTCTTCGTTTTCTTTCTCTTATTAAACTCTTTTTTTGCTCAGGTTTTGGTTTTATTTCTGTTTCACCATCATATATTTTAAGTGGTCCTGTCTTTTTTGGTCTATGTCTAGTTCTAGTATCAGGATTAAATCTTAATCTACGTCCTCTCACAATTGGTCGATCTATCCGTTTCAATATATAGTCTGCTGCTTTCCAAACATCTTCCATTTTAACCATTGCAGACCTAAACAGAACATAAGGTTTTATGCACCTTAAAATGTTAGTAACAACATGGCTAAATGTCACATTGCAATATGATAAATACCTGCACTTTTCTGAATGTGGTTTCAACATCTTCACAGACTCACATCCTTGAATAGCTGCTTTTAGTTCCTGGGATTTTGTTTCAAGTGCAATGTTTGAAACAAAAAGGCTGTTGAAAAAATTTCACTTTTAATATAATTGTTTTAAGTCAGTGTTTCAGTATAAGAATGTAAGTTGACAAAATCCTTACGTTCTCGTTACTCTTGTTTCATCTTTTACTTTAGGTATAACGATTTTTTTCCTTTTCAACTTTCTGTTTTTCTCAAATTTAGTAATTGCAGGAGCAACCACAATCGGTTTTCCATTTATTTGAGTGTTTCGTGCCATTTTTAAATTTTTCATTTTACTTTCAGTGTCAGGAAATATTACGTAGCAATATCTGGTAGATTGTCGAGGAAGGTTAACTTTAAAGTCACCGGTAAATAATTTTGCAACATCTTCTTCCTCGCGAATTACATGCGGTAAACGAACGTACAAAGCTCTTTCTTTTTCTTCTCGTCGTTTCTTTAAAAATTTCATTTTTCAATTTCTTGTTTCAACTTTCAAACAGACACGTTAATATCCACGGTTATACCAGTTTAGGTTATATTTATACTTGATGTCACGAGAGTCCATAACTGCGAAAAGACCAGTTTTCGTTCTTTTCTGCGCATTGTCGCTCTGATTGGCGATACTTCCAGCGGAAGTGGAAAGCGATTGGCGGATCGCTTTCCCCCACCATCGCTGCGTTCCCCTACCATCTTTCAACCTGCGCACTTAGTTATGGACTCTCGTGACATCAAGTATATATTTCAACATGTGATGCGAGCGTCGAAAACTTTACCGACAGTCCCTCGAGAAATCCCTAGACGCGAGTTTTCAAATTACGTCCTCATTTCTATACAGAATGTAAAAAAATTTGAGGGACGTGTTCAGAAAGTTCTAAAGAATATTTGTCTGGTTCTTATATTATCCAAATCGTCAAAAACTTATAAAATATTGAAATTGCTGTCTGTCAACGGACAAGAAAATGGCGGATCGGACTCACCTGCATTGATTTATTCGTAATATAAACATTTCTGTGAATCGTATGTCCAAATAGGGACCAGACTGATATTCTTTGGGTCGGATAGAATAAAACGAGCACCCAAGGGATGATGTACAAGTCTCCAGGTAGAAGTAATTTGAAAACTACGATTTCGTTGATTGTTTACTCGCGAAAGACATCAAGGTAAAACAGACCAGAAATTTAGTTTCTCGTTCATTCTGTAGGGCGCAGTTTGTTCGTTTGATTAATAAACAATTGTAAAATTAATATAAGATACGTGTACTTATGCACGTGCGTGGATGAGATTATCGAGTTCCTTGAAGGAATGACAAAGACAGTATACGATTCATCATTTCCAAGTAGCAAAGGTCAAAAAAGACAAATCGTATACCAGAAGCTCATGAAGCATTGTATAGGTTAAACCTAGGTAATACGAGTGGACCATATTAAAAACTCCTTACAAGTAAAAAGGATCCATTTTTTATTCATATTCATATAAACGATTGGACAAGTGGTTGATAGACTAAAATGAGATAGCATTAACTAGTAGCTTTCTTCCACCACTCCAACATGCTAGCGCTAGTATGCTCGACCAGTTTAACCACGTTGAAAGCAACTTAACCAATTGTCATTCGAATCTTTCGCTTAGAAAAATAATGATTGGTTTATAGCATATTTTGTAAGGGGGTGCATAATAAAGCGACATCTAGGCGGTATTGCGAACTGGTAAAAACGTAACGAGTCAGATGGCCGTCTGAAATCAACAACCGGTGTAGCGAACGGACAAAGTGACGCGGTTATGTACGCAAAACAATCGCGTCAGACGCGTGAAACATCGTAAAAAAGAAACATGTAAGGATTTGTTATCATAAGTGTCGTCGCGTTGAATTTTACGTTTCTTTTTGTTCGACAAGACCGTCGGGGGAAATAGTGAAAGTGAAACTTGGCCCGACCGTGGTTGCTTTCACAAATTGGTTTTATCGTCAGTGACGTACGGTTTTGGAACCCCGAGGCCAAACACGAATCCGCTGTTCGAGGATGAGCGCGAACAATGTGCAAGCACTTTTCGCGTGTTCCAGATGCTTTTCGAGGCATCCTTTCGAGGAACTATCCCCGGGACAACAATTGTGCAAGGTATCGTCACGGGATTTAGTGTCTTTACCGAATTTCTACGCGCGACAACCAATATTTCGTACGAGCGTCACTTTCCGTGTTTGCGAGATAGGATGCTAATAATAGAACTTTTAATTCAAACTTGCGTTTCTAATATGATCAACGCTGTTTTATCGTGTTAAAAAACCTGTAGAAATTGTTCAATTGAAATTTCATATGATATTACGATATATTAATTTGTATTTAATATAAAACATAATTATTGCTCCAGTCAATTACTTTTAGCTGAATAAATTGTAATTAATTTCAAGAGAGACTTTTCTTTTAATGGTAATAAATACTTTTTTCTTACAGTATTGTGTTTTGTGCAAAAGCATGAATAATGTGTAAACATTATAACTGGTTAAATGTAAACATGTACACTATAAATTTCTATCATTGTATATGTTTTTAATAAACTTTTACTACATTATGTTGCTCATTTAGGAATGCAGAGGTGCATTTCCTGTAGTGAAATGTACATATTGTAGGTCAGAATTCCAACAAACAATGTAAGCATATAGATATTTCTGTATGTCTCGTATAAATTGCATCTGTCGTACAAAATAATCTTGTTGTATTTTACAGAAAAGGAAATACAAGCACCATATGTAAAAAATGTGAGCAAAATGTGAAAGCTTACGGTAAGCCGTCGGCCTGTGAATATTGCAATACCATAGCTGCATTCATCGGTAGCAAATGTCAGCGTTGTACGAATTCCGAAAAACGTTATGGGCCACCGGTAACTTGTGAACAATGCAAACAGAAGTGTGCCTTTGATAGACAAGATGAAGATAAGAAGGTAACAATATATTTCTTATTTTATTTACAGTGACGTTTTAGAAGTATTTCTAGATACTACATTGTTATTTGATTAAAGGTTGACGGAAAATTGTTATGTTGGCTGTGTACGCTTTCTTACAAAAGAGCGTTGGCAAAAACAAAACAGTCGGACGCAGAGAGGAGGGCACATTTGAAACTGGCGCAACAACGAGCAGCGAAGCACAAAGAGCAAAAGTAATTATTCCAAATACATAATCTCACAAGGTAACTTTACGCTTAGTAGTTTTAATTGTGTTCATCACAGTTTCAGTAAATCTTCAAATATAAAACAACTCGGTAATGTTTTGTACGTAAGTACTGTAGCGAGCTATTGAGTTCACGCGGGACGGCACAGGGGGTCCTTCGTAGACACCGGCCGGTTCTGTAGTTATACACGAACCTAGTTAGTACATAGCTGTTTAGGCCCGCGATCTTTCCGAGTGAAATCTCCATAGCTTCCTACAGTATCTTACGCGAGTTTGTATTCAATCTGTTTGTTTTGCTTCAGACTGAAAGGTCACAACAAGAGACCGCACAGAGTAGACGTTACGAAGTTGCCGCCTCAGTCTGAGAGCGGAGAATCGAACGGTCCTGCTCCCGTGAAAGCAGCTCGTATGGTCGGTGTACACGATCCACACGATCCTAATAGTTCGGATCATGTAGTCGCAGTTACGCAATTGAAAGAAAAGATAGCTCATCTTCAAAAACAAATCACGATTAAGGATGGGCAATTACTTGCCAAAGATAGGCAGGTACGTATTCGTTGTCGCGTCGAATAAATTTCTATGGATTAAAGTCAGGGGTACTAATTCGAGCGTAATTGTTTCTTTGTTCACAGATTACGGAATTGAAAGCGAAAAACTTCACATCGGAGACGGAACTGCGTAACAAGATGAAAGCGACGGAAAAGGAGTACGAAACTAAAATATCGACGATGCAACTGAAGATCTCGAATTTGTTAAAAGAAGTTGCATCGTTATCGAAGAGTTCCAAGCGGGGTGACAGAGTGGCCGCAACGAAAACAGAAGCTGGGACCAATAGTGGAAGTGGAACAGACAGTCCTGTACCTTGATAAGGTAGGATTTCACATCCTCATTATTCTTTGTCAATTAATGTTCAAACGATAATTCTTCTAAGTTTACGTTTTACTTCGTCGACACAACATATTTACGATTATAAAATATTGTAATTAATTATATATTTAGTGTTTGGAATGGTATTCTGTTTGTGATTTAGCGTTTATGGCTTTTCGAATGTTTCATTTCCAATAAGAGCCAAACGTAACAGAGAATTCCATGTTTTGCGCTTCTTTTAGTTATGGTTGATTATTTTCCAAGTATATAAGAGTGCGTGTAAGAGATTGAATTATTTTCGATATCTCGTTCCTATATTTTCATACGAAGATGTCCGAAGCTAGTTTCCTTGCAACGTTTTATCGTCATTCTCGTTTTACGATCGAAAGGAGTGAGAAATATTAGAACTGTGATCACGCTGTTTTGTTCGTTTTGTTTTTTAATGGTGCGTTATCGTTGCTAGAATATTTTCAGTACAACATACACATACTGCCGCCCTATAATTTGCGTTTGTGTTGATCGTGATTATGCGAGATAACACGAAGCAAGTTCTGAGTAGTACCGTGCTAAATAGAAAAAAAAAAAAAGAACCGTGTAATGTTTCTGGGAGATGAAAGACTTTTCTTAAAATTGTTTTCAGGGACTTGGTTAGCTGTGACAACATACTCAAATGTCCATACCCGCATTAAACTATGTGGTATACATTATATATATATTTATATATATGTATAGCTAATTGTTTCCATTAACAAGGCAAAAATCTGTATTATTTTTCTAATTAATATAGGAATGTATATTATCTTCGACGTGTACGCGAAAGAGAAACATTTTTCCCGTTCTTCTAAACCGGAGGAATGACGAGGCAAGTGCAAAGCAAAAACAAAAGTGTTACTCGTAAGTTAGGTAGCTTACTTCCCTGGTCTCATTACTTTTGTTCCGTTTTCCGCCAAAAGAAAAGGAAAACAAAATTATCCCACGAACGCGAGTTTGCTATGATTCGTTGCATCGTGTGATAAGGTTTTTTTTGTTTTTTTTTTTTTTTTTTTTTTACGATAAAGAAGCCAGTTTAATCGGATTGTACAGTAAGATAACGTCAGATAGACATTGAAGTGATGAACTTTGAAACTTTTAAGAATGAACTTCTTGATACTTGCGAGAGATGAGAGTTATATTGCAATCATATACACATACAGATACACACGTACATAAAAACACATACAGACACACTATGATGATCGAGCAATAGTGGTGTTGTAACGATTTCCTATTTATAACGACGAAGATGTAACGACGATGAACCAGGATATGGTGATTGTAGATCAATTTACAATAAAAGGTTGAAAACGATATACCTCGCCTTATGAGTTGAAACATATCCTTGGACTTCCTTCCTGTTTGAAGGAACTACCTCTTCTCTTATTTTCAATCGTCGAACAATTTAAGCAAATAAGAAAGGAAAGATATTGCAAGTGACATGAGAACATTGCCATCGAGAAGAAATTGAAATAAATATTATTATTATAAAGGAATGATCCATATTAAGGTCCTTTGATACCGATTTATGATGATACGAGATTTTTTGATGATCTAATTAAAAAAGAAAGAAAAAAAGAAAACAAAGGGAGATGCAGATGATACGTGCATATAAATATCCAACAGCCATATATTTATTCTTTATTTTAAGAAACAAATGCTAATTGAGCATTACCTATTCAATAATTGTAATGATAATAAATGCGTAACAATTTTACTATATTATACGAAGTGTAAGGATAATTAACATTTAATTTATAGTCGTTTAAATACGTACGAGCCGTGTACACCTGTGTGTTGTGTACAAGTACAGTTGGAGTTATCGTTTTTTTTTTTTTCTTCTCATTAATTATTTTTACGAGACGGTAAGAACTAAATATTGCTTGTCTTGTGTTGTCGAGGCGGTTAAATCGCTTGTTTCCTTCGATCATTCTACTTTCTTAGCGTATTTACACGATCTTCTCTTTAGTTTCTCCGTACCGTTTCTCGTTCCTCCTCTTCTTCTTCTTCTCTCTCTCTCTTTTTTTATGTTTTTTCACAATTTAAATCTTATAATACTAGGTTCGTCTCGTTCATTCTCTCATTCACTCGTTCACTCTCACTCTTTCGTTTTATCTTTCTCCCTTCATCGCTCCGTTATGTATAATAGTGCGTTTAATCCGGGCAAGGCAGGAAATCGTGGCAATACACGGAATAATGATCGGCAAAACGCCATTGGAAACCCATTGCCCATGGTTCTTCATCCTCTGTACGAAACTTGTAAAAAAATATACGTAATCAACATCGTTCACCTACAATTTTAGGGAGAGTTGCATTTCCGGATTTTGTATTTACACGATCTTTCCTCGTTCTTGGCAAGGGTAGAATTTTTCTGTCACCCCTTTCGTAGCGAAGTGATAATACGTAAAAACCAATTTGACCCCGGGCAAAGACAGATATAAACAAAATACACAGAATATTCTTTTCACCTAAGTCCCCGTTTCCAATGCCGTTTCTATGCCTAAACATTACGTGTGCAGGCCTAAATTCGTAATCGGAAGTCAACATTATAGAAACGTGTTCCTCTACGATATTGACCCACGATCAGGATACATGGTCTTCAGCGTCCTGCGCGTTTCTCTATTCGACCAATGGGACCGCTATTATAGCGTACATATAACATATCTCTGATGTAAGAATTTTCATTTTTGGCCTAATTATTCGGTAGTATGCCCGAGTTCTCCACGTTGCCCGTTTTCATTTTTCCTTTTTTCTGTCAACGTGTTTTCGCGAAAAATCAAAAAATTAAAAGGCCCTGCGAATCGTACCTTCTTCGACTTCATTTCTTCTTTTTTTTTTTTTCTTTCTTAAAGCTGCCTTAAACTTACGCAGTCGAAGTATCGATTCAAGGGTAAAAATGAAACCCTCTTGTTTCGAGAGGGTGGGGAGAAAAGGGTTCACCGTAAGGAAACCGGAAGAAAACGTACTACATAAAGAAAAATCAGTTCCTTTGAAGGATCTTTACGACGAGCACCATGACATATTTGCAGGAACCATTGAACTTGTTACGTTCCAAAGCTAAAACGGATAGATGAATCGGTGGACGTATGGAACCTTTGGATTTCTTTTCTGTTTTGTTTTTTTTTTTTTTCTTTTCGAAATTGAAGAGGCATTGTGAAAGGAGGAAGTTCGAAATGCTTTCTCGAACGTGCTCTGTGAATTCCAACCGTTTGTTTCTTCTCGTATTCCCGTTTATCCGGATCCTGTTCGCTCTTGGAATCGTATCGCGATGCACGTAATTTTCTTTTGCTGTTTCCGTTTTGTTCTGTTTTTTTCTTTTTTTTTTTTTTTATGCTAGATAACCGTGCGTATATCAGTCTGCGATACTTAGCAATGTGCTATCATCGTTATCGATTAGCGATTCCAGCTTAGTCTCATCGTTACGTTCTTTAAAAATCATTTTTTCTTTTCTTTTTTTGGAGGCGCCGAGAATCGCTGATCGAATCACGATCTCTGTCGTTTCGCATTTTAATGGTAGGCTGCGCTTTCTCATCGTGATAACTCGACGATTAGATGCTTAAAACTTAATGGAAGTACCTAGTAAACGAAATTTTGTTCAAATCAGTGGAAGAGATTACGAAATAAATGGTGTCTCCATTGTCACAGCACCAATTAGTACGTTCGAATTTCTTTTTTCTTTTTTTTTTTTCATAAATTTCTTAATCTATCTGATGGTGATCAGTATTTCAATTGCTTTCTTCACACTCTATAAATAACAGAAAGATAATATAATGTAAAGATAAGTGGTATAACGATCGCGTTGAAACGAGGCGCGAATCGAAGGCTCGGCTAAATATTGAAATTAGTTTTTTCTTTTTTTTTGACTAGATTTATCTCCCTTGCTTTCACATTCTCACGATAGTGGCGAATTTTACCCGATGTTCCCGTTGTTAGTGTGCGCGTTTTGATTTGTTCCCGATGAAAATCACCCCCGAGCCTTTTCCTTTTTACTTCGTACACGGCACGCTGCGAATCGATGCTTGATTCGTTCGAGACCGAGTTTTCCGTAGTAAGAATTTTTGGGAGAAAATTTCTCTCTCCACGGTATAAATATATCATAGAACGCATAAGGTGCGTCGTCGATCTCGATCGTACAAAGCCAATCCTTTCGCAAATATTGCGTTTCCAGCGCGCCACGCTTCGTCATCGATCGTTATTGCCACTAGTAACACGAAATGACAATTAATTGAATACGTGTTATCATTTGACGTCACCGCGAGTCATTTTTTTGTGCGCGATCGCGATAAGATTTGTTTCCCCGACGGTTCTCAGTTATCGTTTCGTTGCAACGACGGTTTTAACGTCCACAACCGGAGAAAAGAAACCGTAAGTTCGAAACGATCGATAAAAACGAGAAGAATAGCGTCGAGAATGGAGAGGTTTGCTCCAGAATGGAGTAGAAAATGAAAAAATGGGAAATTAAAACGATTCGTTCGCGTGGGTCGACAGATCGGGTTTACCGTTTCGAAAATTCCACGACAAAAGGATGCCTAAAAAATATATATGTATATATTCTTATATCTATATACAGCAGGCGCGGAATGTATTCGTATAGCGATCAGTTTCAAACTCGAATAGATATCGCGTGAAACAAGAATCAAGTACTTGGATAATTCAGGAAATTAATGAGAAAAATTGTAAAATCGATGGAAATTAACTTATAAGTAAGTAATTGATTCATTTCTGAGTGGTTTTGAAACTTTTAGGTAGATTTGTCATCGATCAGTCGTACGAATATTTATTGCTCGTACATCTCTATCGGTTTATGAACTTTTCTCGTTAATTTCCCCGATTATACGAGTACCTAATTATTTGTTTCCACGAACTCTATTTCAGAAATTATTAAAAATATTCACGGACCAGTGAAGTATCGCTTAAAGTTGATCGGTGCCCGAGTACTTCTTGCACCCACTGTATGCTTGTATACGAACGTGTATAAATATAAATATAGATACTCGATCACCGAAAGTTTTCTTTTTTCTCTTCTTGTTTTTAACGTTACTATAGTACGCGTGTAATAAATCACTTAACTTTCAAAAAAGTTTCGTGTTTTATTTAAAAAAAAAATAAAAAGTACCGTGTAGAGCGCAGCCTACCGTTTTCCTCGCCAATCGACGACGATTTAATTATTTTTTTGTTCTTTTTTTGTTGCTTTTATACATATACATATATAAAGATATTCATAAATTAGAGCTCCTTATATTATATATATATATATATATTACCTTTTAAATTATCGAATAATTAATAGTAATGTTATTATATACAGGTACAGGTCTCGTATAGTTGCAGTCGTGTCGTCACTGGTTGTTCGTTCGATCGTCGCGTCTTTCTCGCTTTTCTTCTTCGCGCGCGCATTCTCGAATTTGCTGGCGGGTGCCGACAAAGTCCGCCTTGCTAGAATTTTTCTTTAATATTTTTCACTTTTAACTTCCCAGGCTCGAACGCTTAGAAAATGGTACCGCGATACACACGCGAGGAAGAAGGAAATATGTCTATTTACTGTCATCGGAATATAGAATGCGTTTTCAATATTTTTTTTCTGGAAAAGAATCCGAATTTCAAACATAATCGAATATTTCAAGTTGAAATCCGAATTCTACTGCCAGCAAAGTTTTCAAGTGTTGTAAAATAAATTAGTTTGGTCGAGCAATGGAAGTATTTAATGGAAGAAAAGTAACGACACGTTAGCGCACGGTACCATTATTCTATGCATCGTTCCAGGATGGACCGTGGAAGGATAATCGAGAAGCTCGAACGACTTTCGGTAGCTCGTATTCTCTCGACTTTATATCCGAAAATGACATCGTGTGACGACTCGAGACACACTAATCCTACTTCGTTTCGTCCCTTTTCTGTTTCGTTTACGCTTCACATTTCTCTCGTTTATTCTTCTTTTATATGAATTCGTGTTCGTTGGTGGCGCTACTATTAGAAAAAATATAGAAACGAGTATTTACAAGGAAGGAACTTTTTTTCTCTCTCTCTCTCTCTCTCTTTCGCCTTATTTTTCTGCTCTTAGCTGGAATCTCGTCGATTCGGTCCAACCTCCTGAGAGAAATCGAACTTTGTTCGCGTTCACGATCGACGTGTAACGATTTCAAAAAATTAACCAGCTTTCCACGATGATTTATCCACTAAAAAAGCTTGAATTCCTTCGCGTATAACAATAACCAAGCAACAACGTTTTTTCATTTCTTTTATATCATTAACAACCTCCGAATTTTTACTTTGTTGCACGTAATCTCACTCAAGTTTTGCGATCATCGCTATCGTTCCGCTATCTTCTTTCTATCCTTTATACATAATCACTTCTGTTTAATTACACGTTGCCAGCGACGAATGAAACGAAGAAAAAATAGGTTCATTTCGAAAAGAATTCCTCGTGTACCGTGAACCGGGAAGCGTGTTATTATCAGTCGCCATGTTCGCGAGGATTAAAAAACAGGTCGGTTTCTCGTGTGTCGCGAGCAACTCGTTTACTATTCCACGGCTGGATATTTTGCGCTTGAGCAAAAGGGCTCATACCCCCGGTTCTTAGGTGCACTCGATTATGTGAGGCTGGGAGGTCTCTATGACGCTTGGTCGTCCCACCGAGTTCTCCAGATTGTGGAGGGACGTGGAGTGCGGACCGTGTGCGGATCCGTGCCTTTCGTAGTTCTCGATGTGCTCCAGCTCGCACTCTTTTGGCATGTTTCCTGGAAAAGATAGGAAAAGAACGATCACCTTTAAGCCGTTACTTTCTCCGTCTTCCCGGCGATCGATTATTCGACATAGTTGATATACCGGGTGTCCTGATCGATCCACGTTTTTTAAATAGAATTATATTCGACTTACCGACATTCATATCGGGACCACCGTACTCGTAGTAGGTCGGCGAACCGACCGCCGCTGCGAGGGCGAGCTCGTCCTCGATATTATTTGGTCTGCAACTGGTCGTCTTCCAATGAGTCCTAAGGCCACTCGCGCTGATGTACTTCTTGTCGCAACCCTGGCAGGTGTACGGCCTCTCGTTCGTGTGCAATCTCTTGTGCAACTTTAGATGAACGAACTGGGTGAACTTAGCAGGGCAGAGGTCACAAGCGTATGGCTTTTGGCCGGAATGCAATCTGAGATGGGTCTTCAAGTTCGACGTTGAACTGAACCTTTTCTTACAGATCTCGCATTGATGTGGTTTTTCGCCTGTAGACGAAAATTTATTTTTCTCGTTAATCATCGTGTTAGATTAGTCTGGTCGAAAAATAAAGAAACGCGATTTACTCACCGGTGTGGACGAGGTGATGTTTCTGCAGATGGGCCAGCTGAGTGAAGCTCTTGGTGCAAACGTTACACTTGAACGGTCTTTCACCGGAATGAGTCCTTAGATGTACCTTGAGATTCGACAGCTGGCCGAACGTTTTGCAGCATACGTTGCACTCGTAATGCATTTTCCCGTCTTTCTTCTTCAACGGGTACGGTAACGACCTGTAACCCCTGGATCCTTGGGAGTTAGGGCTAAGGGAGCCGCTCTGCGAGCAACCGTGATCGTCCGGAGACAAGGAGCTCGCGGGCGAATATCGGTTCAACGACGCGGAGTTTGCGTGTATGGTGAGACCCGGATGATGACCGAGGTGGAGGTTGTGCGTGCCAGCGATCAACGTCTGATTGGTGTCGATCTGCATGGTGGACGAGGTTGGTAGTTGGTGGCTGCTGGTAGCAGCCTCCAGCCTCCTTCCGTCTGTCCTCTCGTACACCACGTTTCCGCTCGGCGTCGGCGAGTAGGCGGTGCAATTGATGGACAACGGCGCCACGTTGTGATGCAACGAGCCGTTCTGATGATAAATACCGTACGGATACGAGGATGGCGATTGAATCGGTGAAATCGGCGAGACGCTTTGATTGCTACTCGCTGCCGAGTTCGGATACACCGTGCTAGATTCGATTTGACATCCACCGGAACTCGAGTAGAGAATCGTCGGAGCGGATGTACCCGTGGGATTGGTAGACGGCGATGGGCTCTTGGTCTTCCTCTTGGGTGGACAACTGCTCGTCGACGTGGTTGACGAATGAAGGTTACTCGTGGACGTTAATATCGTGCTGGAGGATAGAACGTTCGCGGTGGAATGATGATTGCTTGTATTGCTGGACGAATGAATGGTCCCTGGATGGGATTGTAGAAGGTTGTTGGGAGCGGTGCTGGAATGAAGATTGCCCGTGCTAGAATGAAGGTTGCCAGCGCTCGAATGCAGATTACTCGTCGGACTTTGCATCGGTAGGGCACTGTTTCCGCTCGTTGAATTGACGCAGGTGTCCGCTTGCATCGGTAGGTTCGAGCTAGAATCAGGACTGCACGGTAGAATGTTTCCATAACGATGGGACTTCTTGTAGGAGTAGGCCATCTCCGTTGGACTGGATGGCGGCGGTGTCACCGAGTCCACGTGCGTTTGATGATGTATCTGATGGTGCTGATGGTGTTGTTGGGTCCCATTGTGATGATGATTATGACTGTTGTTGTTATTGTTGTCGGTACTACGTAGGAGGATATTCTCGAGGATGGAGTTACTGGGGCTGGTTAAGTAGGCTGGTCTCGGTAAATTAGCCTTCACCTCGGATTCGTAGAAGGGTTTCGGATTTTTCTCCGGTATTTCTTCTTCGTTCACCGTCGACAGAACGGCGTTCTTCTGTAGAATGATGGGAGACACCGGCTTGGGTAGTTCCGGGGTCACCGCACGACTCGCTAACTCCTGATCCTTGTCTTTTCCATTCGCTTCGAGACCCTTCGACGTCTGAAAGTTCCCGTAGGTCTTCGTGATCTTGATCTTCACCTTTCTGTACTCGTTCTTCGCCGCTGCGTTGTCCTGCTTGACCACCTCGTTGCTACACACAGACGCTTTCGCGTTCTTGCTGAAGTCCAACACGTAGTTGTTCTCCGAGTCCGACTCGCTGCTCTCTTCCGGAGGCGTGAGGATCTCGTCGTGATAACCGTTCGAGTGATAGCCCTCGTCCGATCGAACAGAACCGTCGGTCGGGGTCATTTGCGACCTTCTCTCGTAGATGGACGAATCCTTTAGAGGAGACACTGCCTCCACGGTGGCTGGAATTTCGCTCGGCAAAGCGGATTGTTGCACTTGTTGCCCTGCAAGTAGAGATGCGTGGTTTTTTTCTTTTTCTTTCCTCGACTATAACAGATTTGTCGAGCGATTCAACAAAAATTACGTTTACTTACGTATTCTCTGAAGCATCAGCTCGCCGGTTAACGGGTAATTGAGCCTCTCCGCGAATTCTCTGCAATACCATACTAAAAGCTCTTGGTTCGGTAGTATGGGTTTGATGGTGTAAAAATAAATGTTCATCTGAAAGTAAAAGACACGGTGACGTGAATGACAGGATCCTGATCAAAGGGTTTGATAACAGGAACATATCGATAGATTCTTCACTCACTTTATACTGGCATGCTATCAGGTTTTGCGATTCGGACGAGTAAGCCGGGTTTACATAACGCATCCAATTCGATTTCTGAACGTCGTAACCGTCGATGTAATAGAACAGCTCGTTGTTCTTGTATACCTATTGAGAAAACATATGTACGGATTTTACATGGAGTGAATCTAAACAATGTAACTGTGAAATTGATCATCGGGACGATATTGGAATCTGGATGTACGGTACACACGGTGCTAAATCTTCGATATTATTCCGAGGCATCGATAGACTGGGAAATAATCGACGATTTAATAGGATTATTCGAGAGGGAATCCGAGTTCTCTCTATCGTAACTCATCAATTCGTTACGAGGCATCAATGGCTTCGCGGATTTTGCTTTAAGGCTTGCTAGATCGACTGAAACCAGTTTCTAACTTCTCTCTATCTATACATACATACAGGATGTATCATAACACGCGTGCATAACTTCACTGGTGGATTCAGTACGCGTAAACAGATGATAGTTGGAAAAGAAATCTTACCCTCCAGAAGTATTTCCGGTTCGCATCGGCCGGTACCGAGTCCTTGGTGTACACTTGACCCACCAGAGGACCGAATCGTGTTCCCTTAGGAATGTAACTGGTACTCCAAACTCCCAATACCTGTACACACACGCGACAAAGATATTTTAACCAGGTTCGAAATAATTCCAACGTTTTTGGAATCATAGCTATTTAAATGCGTTCAAAATTTCATCATCCAGTTCCTGACTGAACTAAAATACTACGGAATGTATCGTTTCGAACATACGTCATGTTAAACGATTTTATCCGTGGGATATTTTCGAACGATCCCGATGGTAAATCTATTTTCGTTTAGAAAAAAAAGAGATGCTCTCAGGATGTTCATTTTATTAAAAAAACTACCTACTCAATTAGCACTGAAATACATTCTTCTAATTTTATCTAACTTGTCTGTTCTTTGAAAGATTTAGTTTCGTTGGTCAGAATCGAAATCAAATGATTTTTCTAATCTCTCAATTGTTTTTCTTCTTTTATAATTGATCGATTCGATGTTTTGCGTAGTTCGAACTTGACACGAGTAAAAGAACAGTTTGCACGGTCGTGCGACGACCGAGGCTATTGGTCTCGATTCTTGTCGTCGAGGAAAGTGTAACGATTCGCTTCGACTCTAGGTCATACTCGGTAAGTTAATTAGCTTGCTAGCTCGGTCAAGTTTGATCTAGTATCTTTCACCGAATCGTGCGTGTAAACGTTCGACATCTCTTCAAGTTCCAATCAATGATACGTTCAGGAAAAATTTTTTAACCCTTTGCACCCGATGAAGTACATAAGCGTACAGGAACTTATTAAAAGCAATAATTATAATTCCTTTTTCGGGGTGGAAAGAGTTAAACAGGAGGGATTTTGTAAACGTAACTTGGATGAAAATCGTGATCGTAATCGCGGCTCTCACCAAGGAAGTCTCAAGAAAGAATTCTTTGGCGGAAGAACGTACATCGTTGAGGGCTTGAGAAGGTTTCAGGACCAAATTTCTCGGTAGGGAGGCTTCCGCGCGATTGGTATCGGTTGGAGACGCCGCCACATCCGGTACCAAATACACGGCATGCTGCTCGAATTCCTCTTCCCTCAAGGTCGCGTGATCCCACTCGCTGGCCTCCATCCTTCACTGCACAGAAATGCGGAAAATATGTTATCTTCACATACTCGAACTTCAATTATGCAATCAAAGGTGTTAATCTATTCGCCTTTGTTCCTCGTTCGCAAACTAACTTCACACAGCCTATTTTCCTATAGAGTTAAACGCTTTCAAAAGTGTCGTAATCTTCTAAATGAGAAGGAAAAGGAAAGAACGGAGAAAAAGTTGTTTGACACATTTTTTAGCAAAGTTTCGACAGTAAGCTTCTGCGTGAAGGAATTTAACCCTTTGACTGCAATCCACCGGGAAGCAAGAGGCACTCTGTGTACAATGTAGCTACAGTAGCAGTAATTACTCTGTATTAAGTACACGATTTAAAAATAGTTCTTATACTACTTGAATTAATTATTCTTTATAAAATTTTACTACTGTAATAGCATGGTATGCTTCTCTTGTTAAAGTGTCTTTAAGGTTTCATTTATACAGTGATGCACAAAGTCCATAAATTGCATCGATTGATTTGTTTATAGTTTGCTGAAAACGTAATTAACGTTTCCTTTTCAAAGTGATTTCATCTTCACGCGTCGAACGTTACCATTCGTGGGCAAAAAAGAAAACAAGGAAATCATTATATTATTAGAAGATCGTGTATAATGACGACGGACAACGCAGAGAGCGTTATAAATAGTTGAGATTCCGGTAAATCGATACACGATCAATAACTGCAGCCATTAACTTCGAAACGTTTATAAAAGAGAAGCAACGCGTGTCGCAGTGTTTCTGCAGAAATTCTTTCTATCTTTCGACATTATTCCTTTTCTTTTTTTTCTTTTTTTCTTTCTTTTGTGTTTCTATATCCAAGTCTGATTCTCAAAGTGACAAACTGTTAATTCAATCGTCTTGTTATATTAAATCTTTCACTTAAAAAAAAAATTAAAATAAAACGGTGTCGCTTAAAAAAAAATGAAGATGACTTCAATTTTGTTACGCCGAACAGGCTGTATAATAAGGGTGTTCCTCCCTCGTGGGTAGGATAGGCAAAAATCATGATTCTTCCTTGTTCCACGATCAACGCGATGGTGCAACACTTTAACACCGCGAAAGTGAAACCCGTCCACGCATTGATCGACTGCAGGGGCGGAGAGGGAGGGGGACAGGGCATAAACTCTGAAGTCCAACCCTCCCGCACACCACCCTCTTCCACATCGTCCACCCACCCTGCCACCAGGGCTTTTCGCTACCCGTTGAATTTCCATTTCCGTGGAAATCGCGCACGCTACCAGCTCCCCGTTCCCTATTCGTTAACTCTTCGCCTAACTTTCTGATTTTTAACCCCTCTTGATTCACAGGTTTTTTTTTCTTCGACCTTCCCGATCGAATCACGTTTTCTCCCCTGAATCTTAATTCTTAAAGCTTAAAAAGTACAATCAGCTTAGGAGATTCTTGAAAGATGATGCTTTTCAATTCTTCGGATAACGATATTAAGTTTCTGTGAGCTACCTTGATTTACAATATTGCGACGATTTATTTGCAACAAAATTTCAATCGGTCCAAGGGGTTGGATAACGATCACTCGGTCTTAAACTCTTTAAAATAAGACGAGGCAGGATTAAAGCTTTGCGAAGGACTCTTTAAAGAATCGGGAAAACGCTGAAAGATCATTTGACATTTTCGAAAACCGAGGATTCGTGGCGACCAAAATACCGAGGCAGCTTTCGTTTTCTTTTTCGTTCGGTGGGTAGTTAAGATGCAGTTACTCACGACTTTTGGTGCATCGAAAGTGCAGCACCCTCTCGTCTAGTCTAGTCTCTTCGTGGATCTTTGAACAGGATATTCGAAAAGGTTTCTCTCTCCGGCACCGTATTTTTGTCTTTTTTATGTGATCCTGTGATTTCTCAGAGAGATCGGCATCCCGACGACTCTGCGTACACCCGGGTGCCAAATCTGGCCTCGCGTTGAGGGATGAAAATTGTCGTTGTTTCTCAACATTTATTTAAAAGTGTCCCTTAGGCAAGAGGAAATTTGTACGTCGATAAGGCCGATCGCTGCCGGCCCTAGGCGGTCCTCTGCCACCTATAACCCACGCTTATCGATTATCAGGACATCGGAGAAAAGGAAATTGGAATCTGCGCTGCCGTTGCACCCGAACCAAATCAAACCCGCTGACACTCTCCCTTCTCTTCGTTGTTTATCAACAACTATATCGGTTCGAGGTAGCTCGACGCGACGCTGCCACCCCTTTACTTTCTTTTAATCCTCTTCTTTTCTTTTGTTTTGATTATTCCAGCTCGTGTGTCGAAGGTAGAAACTTATCCAGGAAGCACTGGTTTAGCACTCCTCTCGAACACACCACGCGAGCCACTTCGACGCACTTCACCTTACTTTCGTCTCGCACCCTCTCCACCCTCTTTTTTTTCTTATTTTCTTTTTTTTCTTTTCGCCACAAGATCTGGTATCGTTGGCGAAAGAAAAATTGAAAGAAAGAAAAAGAGGACGCTACTTTGTCACCGTTGTTTCTTCGTCGAAACGATAACGATAAGATTTTGCGCTGGTTAATCGTAGTTAACGCTGGAGCACGCCGCGTTTACTATGCCGATCGTTCGACAAACAAAAACGAAGGAGTAGTAGGTTGCAACACGATCGATTCTTCCTATATATAAATGTATATATATTTTTTTTTTTTAAACAAATTCTGCTGGCAAAAAAAAACCACCACCACCGGCACTGTTCCACAATGGTGAACACGATTTCGCGTTTCAACCCTTTTTCTCGAGGGTGGTCTCCGCCTTCGGTGGTTCTCTTTGGATGGCACACGCAGACCAGTGTGTGAAACTCGGGTAGACCTGACCTAGCCCAACGCGAGTCGGCTTGGCTCGTTCTCTCCCTGCTTTGGTATTGGTCGCTTCGTTATCCCTCTCTCTCTTCGTTTCTCTCTCTCCTTTCAACGACCAGGAACGTGGTGGTGTGCCAGCAAAGCTGCCAGACCAGAGCAGAGGTGGTGCATTTCTCTGCGCTGCGCTTTCGATCGACCCGTTGCCAGCAGAGCTTCTCTCCCACCCTCTTTCACCCTTTCATCTATCTTTATCCAACCTTCTGTTTCGCTACGTTCATATACCCTTTCCCTCTTTCACATTCTTCCATCTTTCTCCTCTCGTGCATTTCCCTCTTCCGTCCTCCTTCCGTTTTCAACGCCGTTTCTTTCCCTCTTGATCGAACACGCTCTCGTTATACCCCTTTCAACCCCTCCGCATCCAACGTGCAACCGTGTTTCTTCTTGTCTTTCTTGGATTCTACCCGCTGTCGTCGGTTACTGTCTCTGTTCGTCGATGCATACAACGACGGAGTGCATGCGCCGATCGCTCGTCCCGAGTTTAATTCTTTCGCCAACTTCTCGCCAACATCTCAAGACGCTTTTTTTTCCCTCCCCCCCCCCGTTCGAGGCAAGATGAAAAGGGAATATGTAGGTGATGGGAGTGTGTTAGATTAAGGGGTTACGGTGTTTCGAGGGGTAGCAAGCGAGTTTCGTTGGGTGTGATCAGGGGTTGAATTCGAACCGATTTCGTAAGACGCTGGTTTCAGCGGCTGCGGTTTATGTAACGCGTCGCAATCGATAGGGGGTTGAAGGTGGGCGAATGATCTAAGAACAGTAGCTTTTTACCCTCTTTCATACGCTCGAATGCGTGGGAAGCGAAAAGAAGTCGTAGAAAATTCTTCTATTGGAATTTTATCATCTCTTGGGCGATGAAACTTCGTCGATAAATTTGTCATATTTCCCTTTTGCCTTTCTATCAGTACGTTTACGTCAATATAGTCGGGAAATAATTAAGTAGTCTAATGATCGAAGGACAGTTTCTTCTGGTCTGGTAAATTTTCAAGCCAGACGGGGGTCGCGTCTACAAAAATCCTGCGCTGTTTTTCTCCCCGTCCTTGTTTACACCTCCTTTGAGTATGTGCTTTTTCCACGGTGCGTCCCTCTCACACGATTCTCTCTTCGTCCGTTGTCCTCTCGCAACCCCTTCACGGGAACGTGCATTTAACCCCAACGCCACCCTTTACCTACACTACCACCCTCCTCTTTTCCCATTCACGGCTCGCTGCATACACCGATCACGTACCGAGCGCATGAATGTAAACCGGCCCAAATCGATCCAGACTGGTCTACAATCTAAAGCCTTAATGATTTTCTTTCTTCCATTATTTATATTCGCCTTCAATTCCTCTCTACCTGAACACTTTCAAAACAACTTTGTTGTTTTGTTCAATTTCATGTATAATAATTATAATTAATAGTTCGACAGATTGTGTCACAGATTCACGAGTTTGATATGTAAATTTTCACGTTGGCATTCTTTAATTAATCTCCATTTACCGTATCTCCGAAACTTAAGTGTTTGACGTTTTGACAGACGCCAGCTATAGCTGGAATTCGTATAGCTCAGAGTCATGGTCACTCGAGATCGGTAACCCCGTTCGTTTTAGCTAAACGAGCGGTTTCGTTTTTTTTTTCTTTTTTTTTTTCCATCATCGCAACAAGCTAGCTCGAAAGACCATCGACACCTCGTAACAGAAGTGTACACGGGTCGTCGAACTCGCTTGGATCCTAATCCTGAAGACCGGTCTCGATTCCATCTGCAAGGTTACGTGAACGAAATCTGCCACGGTACAAAAGACTGATTCTCACCGTGAGATAATATACCATCGTTCCCTTTCTTCGTTGACGACCGTTCACCGTGAACATTGTTTCTACATTGTTACCGTGAAACTCGCGATACGTTAAATTGTTTAAACGAACCTTATCGAAACGAAATAAATAATTAATTCGAAGGTTGTGCCAGAACGAGGATGTATGGAAATCGTCTACAACGTACTCAATGACCCAGGAAAAGTATTTACTGCGGGCCATTGCAGTGTATCGACTCGTAATAATTCACTTGGCGATGTTCCTGAAATTAATAGAATATCATGCCAACTGTGATTTATTCGTAATTCGGTAGAAATACCTCTCTGCCGATGGAATTAAATGTATGGTGATAATAGAGGCTTTATCTGTATTGTCTTTGTTCCTCGCGGTCGTTGTCGCGTTTCCGACCCTACCCCTTCTTTTTCATCGGAATAAAATATAATTCTGCTTTAATCCTGCCATGCGTGCGAAATTTAACGGCAGACTGCCTTTAATCCGATCGTGTGATCAGTGCTATCGCTGCTTTCCACGGAAATTCGAAAATAATTAAATTCGTTCATTTGTGCGGAGAACAAAATTTTCTTTTCTTCAATTTGTAAAACTAATAAATTCCTCCAATTAGCTGTTTGACGCGTATCGATGAGATTTGTTCGTCATCGAAGCTCGGTTTTGCAACGGGCCCCCCCTTCCTCTGAGAATGACTACTCGAAGAGGTATGTGGGCGAGGACAATGACCCGGCGATGAATTCGTCCGACGAAATTTCGTTGGAAGCAAGAGTGTAGTCATGGCTCATCCGAAATTTCACTTTTTCCACGAACATAATCAAGAGTCACCTTGCGAATTTCCACGGGGCCAGATCTCCTAGCGAAAGAAGTTTCCGCGTGAATCGCCGACGACTACTAACCCAGATACGTTGCCGGGTCGTCGATCTTTTCCCTCCTCGGAGGAACGACTGTACCAGATATATTAATTTCCTTCGGTTCGAACCGCTTCTCTCGGGAATCGTCGTCGGACAAGATCTCGCACGATTTCCGAATTACTTGCCCCTTGTTTTTTTGTTCTGAATTTGATCGACTGCAAGACACCGTTCTTCTTTCGTTTCGTGTACCGATTATCTTTTTAAGGATATCCAGTTGGAAAGAAACATTCGTCCTTAGGATGCACCGTTACTCTATCGATCGATGTCGTTAGGTACATACCTTTCAGCCTCGATCGAAAGGGAAATTAAAGGTTCTCTCCGGTGGCTTTGTCCTCGTAAAACCGAACGTCGGGAAGTTTGCTGCGTTCTCTCGTCAAGTTTCTAATCGGCCACGAATAGAGGGCCGAATGTGAACCGGAAATGCCGTTTTCCATGGAGTCCGTTCGGAATCGAAGCGTTCCATGGTGCAAGCTACCTTTAACTCTCGCAGCCATACTCGTAACTGTTACTTTAGAGAGAATAACGGGCCATACGAATCCGTGCGTGTACACGCAATCGGTGTGATAAACACGCACCGCTTTCCAGGAATAACGGACAGAAATTTGTCTAGAACGTAACCTTCTCTTTTGCTGTTTACAAAATTCAAATTCATCTGGGAGAACAAACAAGTTCGAAAGAAATTCTTCAGATTCCATTAGGCGTTCCTTGTGGACTTTGTAAGATAATATTTCTAACAGTTGGAAGGTAGAAAACATTCTAAGTCGAATCAAACATTCGTTTCGTGTTCTCGATAGTTAAGAAAGGTCTGGACGTTTGTAAGAAGGTCGATGCTTTCCGTAGTCGATTGGGGGGGGGTCGATGACCCTTAAGGCTTTGAACCGGGACATGTTGCGTTTAAGCTTTTTGTAGAAAGTGCTGTTACTCCACTGATCTTGCAACTTTATTTCCTTCGTCGTACGATCATCCTAAGTTTTCTGATGTTTCTCGAGTTGTTCCTCCTTGGAATTTAAAAAAATAAATTTCAAATCGAATCATATGCGAAAATAATTCATCCGTCAAGAATTGATTAGAAGATGGTTTGATTTAACGCGAAAATCAAAGTCCCGTTTCCGGCGCGACTTTAAAAGGCCGACGTACTCTCGGCTGGTAGCAAAATGTAAACCGGAAAAGCAGCGAGCAAGTGAATTAGCGAAGTGAGTTCGCGATTGCCCTCCTCCTCCTCCTCCTCCTTTCTACGTTCGCCTCGGTTCGTCCTTCTTTCTCCTCGTTCACTGCCACCTTCCATTCTCTCTCGCCACGGATCTGAAAGAAGGTCTCTGCCGGTCGTTGTCCCACTTGGAGGTCTACTTGGACTTGGACTTGGACCACACCATAGGCATGGTGCGCTGAGTAACGAGGTTCCGATACCACCATAGGGGAGGACCTCTCCTCCTCCTCTCTCACTCACTCTGTTCCCCTTTTACGCTTATATTCTCTATACGCAACACGTACGTTCTTTCACAGACAGGGACGGAGCTTGGGGGACAATGTTCGTTAAGGTGAACGAACTTTTAACGCATCGTGCTCTTAGGTATGCGCGAAAATCTTCCTAAACGAGCCATTATTCGTTTCCTCGTTCACGAGAATCGAGTTCTTTTTCTTTTCTTCCGTTTACTGGCACACTAGAGACACTCTACATTAACATACCAGTTCTTAACGCTTTGACGTTCATTAATGCTTGTAGTATTTATTATAATTAAGTAATTGTTTTTACTATCTTGAAAGTGATATAATTTCAACGTCTGAGAATCAACCAGTTAATTCTAGTTTCTTAATTATTATTTGATCGATTGAAATTAGTGAAAAAGAGCAGCGTTGGGTAACTTGGAAAATAAAAATGAAAAATTTGCGAAATGAATCGAATACTTTGGCAGGATCGATCCATCCGTCCCTGCATATCGCCACGTACCGACGTCGAAACCGAACCGCGTCACTCGCCTAACTGTACATAGGCTTGTGTATAACCAAGGTACCGTACAGGTACGACACGACCAAACGGTCGTAAAACCATGAATACGTGAACACACGTTTACACGTGGGACCACTATGCACGGGTCTATGCGTGTACACAGGTGCGTAAAAGCACCGTTGGACGGCCGACGAAGGCGCGGCCAAAAGTAAAACCGAATTCGTTTTCGGTAGGACTTCGACCGGCCGTGATTCCTCTTATCTTCCGCTACTTATCTCTTCATCCTTCACTTTTCCTCCGACCATCGCCTCGCCTACTTTCCGTCTCTCCCTTTTCTCTCCGGTACATTCTTTTCATTTTCGTTCTTTTCTTTTCGCGTACTAGCAAGACTAATTTCTTGAAAAACGTATTCTCGTATTCCTCAAAAGAAATTTTAGCCTTCAGAAATATAGATGATCGATGAAGATAAAATTTTCCACGACCACGCGTGGACAATTGATAATTTGGTTAACCGTACGAGTTAACATCGCACGTTCCGTAAAAGGTAACGCCGACATCCCC